ATATACGTCTTACGAGGTACCGTGTTTGACGTATATATACTCAAATTCTAGCTGCTTCAAATCAAGCAGGAGAAAGCTGGTAGGCCCACATGTGAGAGAATGGGTCTGTGTGGTCAGTGTGTACCATTTCAAAAAAATCCTAGAGCACGCAGTGCATAATGAGAAAAAAAAAACTGACTTTTTTTTAAATTAAAATGCCGAATTTGTGGTCTATTTTCGTATAGTATTTATGGTTGTATTCTCATTTTCTTGGTCTCATTTGATAGAATGGAAAATATATTAGAGAAATAGAGGTGATTTTGACTGATTTTACTATAAAAAGAACCTGGAAATGGAGCACAAAATACGGGAAATGTTTGATTTTTGCCGATGTTCAAAAGTAAACAAATGATGTCATTGTCCAATAAATGTCCAAATAGCCATTCTAATATGCAGTCATGAATGGGTTGATGTAATTTTTACAATTATTACAATATTGCAGTAGTCTGCATAACAGTAAATCTTTTATTTTTTGTTTGAATAAAAATTCAAAATAAAAAGCAAGAGTAATATCAGAGGGGCCTGGAGACATGACTGATGAACAAAGAAAATGTTATTTTAGAGCCAGGAATGTCTGCATTGTTCATTCTGGACCTTATTTTGAAATTGTCATATTTTTTAATTTTTGTGAAATTGGCCAAATTGCAAATTTCTGATCATGTTATTGGGTAGTTGAATCGGTAAGTGGACAGTTTCTTGTACTCAATCGATAGAAAAAAATAGAGTACTGAAGAAATAGCTACGAGTTTGGTTGACTGGAATAATGGAATTAGCCGAAAATAGGGCTCAAAGTGGGCGAAATCGCCAATTTGTAAATATTGCCGAGGTCACTAACTTCGCGAGAGCGTAATTCCGTCAGTTTTCCATCAAATTTTGTTTTTTTTGGCGTCTTTACAATCGGGAAAAGGCTAACTTCGCGAGAGCGTAATTCCGTCAGTTTTCCATCAAATTTCGTTTTTTTTGGCGTCTTTACAATCGGGAAAAGATTCTCTATCATTTCATAAGAAAAAATAATTTTTTTTTTTTTTAAATTTTGCGACACTAGGAGACACCTCAGGATTGGGGGTTGCGACAGTCAAGGGGTTAAGATAAAAGCATTGTGTTTAAGTTGTTTTGTAAAGCATATAATTCCCAGCAAGTGTAAGACCAATGAATGCTACAGTGAATATATTAAACAATGCCAAGCACTGGGAAAAAAATTTCAATGTTTAATCCACTATTTTGCCTCATAACCTTATTAATACATTATTAAGCATTTGCAAACTATTGATATAACTTACCTAGATTTTATTAATAACAAAAGGATAAAACCAAGTTAGTAGCAATTTTTTTAACATCGGCATGTCCCACTAAGACAGAGCGACCCGAAAAAGATAAAACACTTTCGCTATCACTCACTCCATTACTGCCTTGCCAGAGGCATACCGACACCAGTTCAGATACCTCTCCAAACTATAATACCACCCCCCCCACCCCATTTTCCAAGTACAGGCACTGTAACTTTCATCTCCAGGACTCAAATCTGGCTAACTGAGTTCCCTGAATCCCTTTATAACATGCTCACACATGCCTGTTGAAAGTCCAAGCCCCTTGCATACAAACCTCCTTTACCTTCCCCTCCCTCCAACCTTTCCTAGTATATTTCCCTATCTTGCCCTCCTTCCACAACAGAATTATGCACTTTCCAGGTCATCCTATTTTGCTCCATCCTCTCTACATGTCTGTGCCACCTCAACAACCCCTCCTCGCTCTCTGGAAAATTCTTTTGTAACCCTGCACTCTCTTTTTTTTTAAAAATGATTTCTGCAAATTTTACCCACACATCACCGTCTCCATTCCCACCCCCTCCCCCTCGTGCAACATTCAAAACCCATGTTCACCCCCCTTTAAAAAATTTTGGGTACCACTTACTCTCTACTTTTTCCCTTTTTGCTCCAGGGTAATGTTTCTTTTTCCATAAATGCCTCAATGCACCACCCACCTTCTTCCCCTTGTTCATTCTATTATTATAAAAAGAAGCACTAAACCCATGTTCGTTCTACAGTTCACCTCATTTTCCACAGATCCATCCGCTTTGATAAATCCCATCCCAAACACATTCACTTCCTCCATACTCCCACCTTCCAATCTGATATCCTATCATTCACTACCTCAATTTTTTTTTGTTACCCCCATCTCCATGGTCTTTCCTATGTTCACTTTTAATTTCCTACTCCTCCATTTTTTTTTTTTTAACACATCGGGAGTTTCCCACCGAGGCAGGGTGACACAAAAGAAAAAAAAGAGACTTTCATCATTTTTCAACACTTTCACCATCACTCATACATTATCACTGTCTTCGCAGAGGCAATCAGATAACAACAGCTTAGACGTCCCTCCAAACTGCCAATATCCTTTAAAGTGCAGGCATTGCACTTCCCATTTCCAGTGCTCAAGTCTGGCTAACCAGTTTCCCTGAATCCCATCACTAAATATTACCCTGCTCACACTCCAACAGCTCCTCAGGTCCCAAAAACCATTCATCTCCATTCACTCCTTTCTAACATGCTCACGCATACTTGCTGGAAGGCCAGGCCCCTCGCCCACAAAATCTCCTTTACCCCCTCCCTCCAACCTTTTCGGAGATGACCCCTACCCTGCCTTCCTTCCCCTACAGATTTATACGCTCTCCAAATCATTCTTTGATCCATTCTCTCTAACTGACCAAACCACCTCAACAGCCCCTCTTCAGCCCTGACTAATACTTATACTAACTCTACACCTCCTCCTAATTTCCATACTACAAATTCTCTGTATAATATTTACACCGTACACTGGCCTTAGACACAACATCTCCACTGCCTCCAGCCACCTCCTCACTGCAGCATTTACAACTCATGCTTCACACCCATATAAGAGTGTTGGTACCACTATACTCTTGTACATTCCCTTCTTTACCTCCATGGATAACGTTCTTTGTCTCCACCAGATATCTCAATGCACCATTCACCGTTTTTCCTTCATCAATTCTATAGTTAACCTTGTCCTTCATAAAGCCATCCACTGACAAGTCAACTCCAAAATATCTGAAAGCATTCATTTCTTCCATACTCCCTCCCTCCAATATGATACCCAATTTTTCTTTATCTAAATCGTTTGATACCCTCATCACCTGTGTTCACTTTCAACTTTCTACCTTTACACACCCTCCCAAACTCATCCACTAACCTTTGCAACTTTTCTTTAGAATCCCCCAAAAGCACAGTATCATCAGCAAAAAGTATTTGATTACCCATAATTTAATCCCACCCCGCTCCCCAACACCCTAGCATTTACTTCTTTTACAACCCTCTCTAAATATGTTTAACAACCATGGTGACATTACACATCCCTAAGACCTACTTTTACTGGGAAGTAATCTCCCTCTCTCCTACACACCCTAACCTGAGCCTCAATATCCTCATAAAAACTCTTTATACACCCTTCCTTATTCATTTGCCAACCACTGCAACTTCTCTTCAGTATCTCCCAGCAAGTGCATTATTTGATTTACAAGTAAATTGACTATCTTGTAACATTTTCCTCTAAAATTTTCACTAGACTTTTACATGTTTGGTTCTCCAGAATTTTTTTTTCTCATACTGCCTCTGGTCTCAATCATGCTGACTCTTTTTGGTGTTCCAGTGTAGAGACAGACAAACTTTATGGATTTAAAAGAAGACATCATAAATGGATAAAGAAGACAGAAACCAACTGCACCACTTTTTTAGTTAAGAAAATGAATAACAGGTATTATTACTTGTTACATGCACTCTTATAAATTTTATTGCAGTAGTATGTAATGTAGCAGGAGTGTTATAGATGTAGCACAGTATAGTAGAATAAAGGTCCCTCCCAATTAAGTTTACATAAACGTAAATAAGACGAGATTTAATAAGAATTTTAATGTATAATATTTATGCACTACTTAAACAGTACTGGTTTCCATACAGACTCATTCATACTGTATGAAGAAAGGAAAATTACTCACAAAGCATTTACACAAAAAATAAGAACTGTTGTTGTTGTTCTCATTAATTTTTTAAGAGAGATCATCAGTCACCTAGAAAGTTACAATGAATTTTTAAAAGGAATATGAAGAGATCAAGAATTACATACTGGCTGTAAAGGAGCTACACAACATACCCCACGTACCTAGCTGCTTGCCTAGGTGGTGTTTCCAGGGGGCTGAAATTTAAAACAAAGCAAAAAATCAAACATACATGCACACCCACTCTAAAGATGAAAAATACAAATAATAAACTTACTTTTCAAATAAAATCTAAAACAAAACATGGAGGCTTTGTTATTGACTGAAGCCTCTGCTGGGTATTGTTATCACTGCCCATTTGCATAAAAATGTAAGAGCCACCTTTTGGGAATGTGATATCAAAATCATGCTACTCAGAAACACAATTAAAAAATTTATTAAAAAATAATTTAGCAAATTTATAAAAAATTAAACAGTTACGTAATTATTTAGTGAATGTACAACTATGGCTGAGGCACAAAAGCATTTTTCTGCTGCAAATATACATATATTTTAGCATTAAAAATGCAGCAGCAGTGAGTTGGTTTTTTTCGGCCATCTCTAGGCATAAAAAGCAATCCAATTGATGGATAAATGAAGATTTTTAAACCCTTTTTAAAAAAAAATTCCTTCTATTCAAATTTTACCCCTAAAGTTTTAAATTTTAAAATTACTAAATTTTAAAAATTTTACAACTTTTACAAGAGTAATTTTTGAAGGGGAAACTTTCTAACTTGATGACCCATACAAAAGATAGGAAAACCTTTAAATTTTCAAAAAAAAATAAAAAAAAATTTTTAAATAAACTTACCGTTTAGAAATTTAAAATGAAATTTAGAGAAAAAATGGCCCTACGGGTGGAGGAGAGAACTGGTTTCCTGCGGGTGAGCGGGGGGCACCTATCCTCCATTTTTTGTTATTTCGTCTGTTTTGTCCACTGTGGAACGTTGATCGACTGGTGTGGTTTCGAGGGAAAGGATTACGATTGCTTGAAACAGGTGATACAGGCGTTTTGTTCGACGAGCTGGAAGGCAGTAAGGGTAACATTCTGAGTGAGGTGCCATGCATAAGCACAGCCAATGGTGATGAGCAGCTGAAACTCACACCTTTTTTTTTCTGTTGTTATTTAAAAAAAATTAATGCAAGAGCCTGAACACTGGCTAGAGCAAGAATATTAGCTACACTAGTACAAGTTGTAATAAGTGATTTATATCACACAGTTACGTTTCTATAAATAGTAAAGCATCAATTTTTTATCTGAAAGATTATTCATATGACTATTAGTGATTATATATTAGTAACAATTATAAGTAATAGTGCACACTACCTAAGCATTCGTTTGTGGTCCTCACTGTGTCTAGAGGCAACAGATCTACCAAAGTCATGCAAAAATTAAATATTAGGTTCATCACACCACCCTTTAGCAATACAGTAATTTGTTTTGGTAGGTGTGAACCAACCAAAGTGTATTGGTGTATGAATGTGTTGCTTATGCTATGTCTGCTATATACAAGCTGTCATGCATTTCACGAACTCACAAGAAGGGAAAACACTGACAACAGAATACAAGTGTGCAGGAGCAGAAGAAATGAGGTGAGGGAGCAAGCAGAAAGCAACAAGATGTGTGCGCCCACACAGAGACATACTACCTTGACCGTAAAGGATCTAGGGGGTGGTCTAGGGGCGAGAGATCCACTCGACCTGGACCAGCACCCGTGCCCGCAGAAATGGACGCTGACTTGAAATGACCTTTTGCAGGTCGAGAGTTAGTGGCTGCCGAGGGGTGGCCATGGGACAGGCTGTCCACCGGGGCCCCCACCACACAGGAGGGAGGGGCCCCAGGGAGGAGTGGTACCGCAGCCACACCACTGTAGTCACAAGACAACCAGAGTTATGACAGGCCACACACAGACACAGACACACAGGCCGTCACTCACCCCCTTCTGAGCCTCAAACATGTGAGAAGCCATTGGCTGTTACCTCCCTTAGAATAGCAATGCTAAAAAGCATGAAACAAAGAAGCTGTTCTTAACAGCAATAACAATGTAGTCCTTTAGGAATAAGCCTTGCAGATAGCAGTATAAAATATCCCTGAGAAGAACTTTAAATATACAAATAAGGGCTCAACTAGAAGAAGGTGCTTGTGACTGAGTAAGTCATGCACAGGAAACTCTGAGACTTGGGTGGCTATCAACCCAGGAAGTCATCAGAGAACATAAACAAGTGCAAAAGGAAGGGTTCTGAAGTTTGTTATGAGCAGCAGTAGCACTACAAGCAGCAATAGCAATAGCAATAGCAGCAGTAGCAACCTGCTACACCAAGCCACTCTAGCACTCACTTTAGCTGTACCAACACAGGAATTATGACAGCCTGTGTGTTGTAAAGTGTCCTAGGTCTTTACTAGTGGCTAGCCTGTTTCAAGGTAGTACATTTCAGTCCATTTGTGTACAATATGTGTTGTCTTCAAATTCAAAACTTTGGTTTGCAATAAGCAATGACTTTATATCAATTTCTTAAATTAATTATTGAGATTAGCACTTGTTCAATAATCAAGATTGTAAATGAGCAAACCATAAGCTGAATTTTTTGTTTATCAGAGGGTGGTTGGCACTAAGTGTTGGTAAGGTATGTCTGAGGCAAAATTAACTTTTGCTGTACGTATATAATCAATGCACGAACATTAGGACACAGTGACATTACACGAGCTACGGTTTACATGAAGGTAGAGACCTAGGAGTGGGGAGATCAAATATAAGAATAGCCATTCAACAAACATACAATTTTTAGTCAATACTCTGACCAAATGAACAACTGGGATCTGTTATCAGCAGGGAAGAAGAGACAGCCACTGTAGTAAAACATATGAAGAGCTTGTACTGCACCATTCAATTTCAGTTACTAGTGTCAACCTCCAATTAATTTTCTAAGATGAAACTACTGCAAAAATATGCATAAAATAATTAAAACATGAAGCACAGCCCTATAGGTTATAAACTGAATGGTGCCATCTTGACACTGTATCCTGGGATGACACAAGCGCTTACTCACCCTCGGATAAAACCACTCAGTGTTTTGCAGGCGAGTCTCGCGGGAAAGAACGAGCGCCTAACGGGAATGTGGACACTGACAGACAGACAGACAACACACAGGGGTCAGATCTCTCTGTTGTTGGTCAGTAACAAACTTCACCATCATCTACTGCAGAGCTATTGGGCCTCCTGCCATGTCAGAATCCATTTTGAATAATTTCTAGAGCAGTAGTATTTAAGCTCCATCACAGTAGCGAGTCTACTCTCAAGCGAATTTATGAATTAGAGTGATGAGGCACAAAACCCAAAACAAAAATTAATGTTAATATCACACTCTAGTATTCTAGAAAAATAACTTTCAGCATGACTGTGGGATGAGGGGAGGTACTAAGTAGTACTTGTCCCTCTTTCACCATTGGCTGAGCAAGTAAGGCATCATGCACCTACAGGGACAAATACCCCTTCACGGAAGTCTCTGATGCAATTCTCAAATTGGGCCCTCAAGGTATTAAGTTGCAAATGCTAATTGAAGGGTCAAGTTCCATTTCATCCACTCAAACAAAACCGTAAGAAATATACTATGGAGGAAGTTATTTACTTTAAATGATGAATAATTATTAAGGTAGAGAGAATTGCTTTATGATCCTCTTAAGTACAAAATATTAGGGCCTACGGCCCTAAACAGACAGACATATAGACTGAGTCCGTGTAAGTGTACAAGTGCCGCTGCTTTGAGTTAACACTTCAGCAAATTTTGGGCATCAAGGAATAGCAGTGGCAAATAAATATCTTAACATCAGGTTAGGTTGGGGGCAGTAAATGCAGGTTTGCTGTAAAATATTACAGATAAATTTTTCTGCATATTGAAAAAACTATACTGGGACAATATGGTAAATAACAATAATGTAAGGGGGGAACATTTATTAGTAACTCTCAAACAAACACAAGACAGAGATCTAAAGCCTCCTCTACTACCTTGATTGGCCAGTTTATATTGTATGTAACTAGTCAACATTTTTGGGCTTTGCCTTATGTTTCTATCATATAAATTTTCCTATTAGCACACAAGGAAAATAACGGGTGCTAGACCAAACTCAAAACAGGTGACTGGAAACATACTTAGCTCAACCTCATTAAATGCGTCCTCCATAAAAAAAAGGAACATTGAGTCATCAAATCTGTCTAGTCTTCAGAAATTCAGAAGTATGGTGATATTTAAGATGGGCATACATATTATAGCAGAGAGGCAGTTATTGAGGTTTACCTAAAGATGAACCTGTACTCTAAGGGAGGGGTTCACAAACTGTACTCACTCCTCAATCGTGTGGACAATGGCTTCATTACACACGTTACTCTCTCCCTGTGAGCCCCTAAAGGCATAAGGAATAATTGACGTTTGCTTTTTCCATAAAAAATACAAATTATTAGCTACATGAAGGTGTTACTATTTTAATATTTCTTTCCAGTAAGGAGAACCCAAGAAATTATGGCTCCTTATATCTAAACAATAGGAAAAATAAGAATATATTATCAGGTGATTGTGGCATCTAAAAAGCAGTGAGTAATATATATCATTTAGATATACTGCATATTTTATAAAATTATATCTAAATGCATATGAATACACACAGAAAAACAAAAAGGAAAAAGGATAAAAAATGTAGTGCCTACAGTAACTGACTTCAATTGCAGGACAATTCAGTGGAGAGCCCAAAACCTGGTCAAAAGTGAGGACTCTATACAAAAAGCCCAAGGAAATTTTACTTAAAATTTTTTTACTTTAAACATATGCTGTCACCTGTGAAAATTTCTTACTCCTCAAAATGTTAAACTCAATATTCTAGCTAGTAAAGGACACTTGTAACTCATAAAATTATGCAGAAATATTTGCTTTAGTAGTAATGCCACTGATAATAAGGAAAATTCTATACAAAAAGCTTCAGTCAATTTATCATATTACACAAAAATTTTACTACAGGAAATCTTTCTCAAGATCAGCTCTGTCCTGTCAATTATCCAAAATATTTTTTACTTCACAGGGAGATTTCACAAACTATGCTGCCAATATTTTACTGATGGTGTAGCTTCAATCAAGACAACTGTGTGGATTACTTCCCCTTCACAGTGAATAGTTTAGCAATTAGTTGTGGCATTAACTAAGATGCCTGGATACATGCACCATTTTTCATATGGCAATGGGATTGAAAGCATAGCTAATCAGTGACAAGACAGGAAGTAAGATGCGCTTTACAGAAGCTTTGTCTTCCATGTCCTACAGACCACCATAGAGAATTTCACAACTGACAGCAGCCTTGCATAGCAGAACAGTTACAGTCTCAAGCTGGTCATCACTCAAGAGGGTATAGGCAATGGTGCTGTGTAAGTGAACATCCCCACTAAAGACCAGGACATAATAACATTCAAACGTCAAGAGAATTTTCTAGTGGGTCCCATTTATTTTTATCATATTTGAGAGACTTCCTATAGTAAGTACAATTTGAGATTTCTGCATTTGAAAACACTATAATGAATAATTATCAATTACACACAAAACTAAGGAAACATGTTTCCCAATATATAATGAAATTTACTTTTATATATATAAAACAATGGGACACACCATTCAAAATGTAAATAATTTCCCAAGACATACATACCTAGCAGAATCTGGAACGTTAGTTATATTTGTCTTTTCCGTTGACGATGCCTTATTGGCATCATAGGAGTAAGTTGAGCGCCTTCCTGATCCACTAATTCTAGTGGTCATAGTGTTACTTTTCTGAACACGGGATTTTCCTACACCAGGGCTTGTCGCTGCGCCTGCTCCTATTGGAAAAATCCATAGCAGTTTTAATTAAGTGCTATTTTATTTAATTATATAAATTCTACTCTTGCACTGAAGCAAAACCATCATCTACTTGAAGCACAATAAAATCCTCTTCAATCATTGGTTAATAGGGACTTTTCAAATCAATGTATATTTGACTATTTGTTTTGGGTGCATGAAAATATATTCTTAGATACATCAATGTTAAAGTGTAAACACTACGCTACTTTGGTTATCACTGAAGAGAAATGATAGAAAGACAATGACTTTAACATAAACATATGATTAACAGATCACACTGACAGAAGACAAGTGGAGATAGAGAAAATGTAGATTGGATAAGAGTGTAAATAAAGCAGACAAAAATTCTGAAGCTAATAACTATTGTTTAGTCATTATTTATAATCTTTGAGCCTATATCATAATAGCTACAGAAGCTCTTTGGAATATTTGAGACACTGAGACCCAGATACATTAATCAAATGGGAATAAGGGCAAGAAGAATGGAATGATTGGCACTACCCAAGCATTATTTTCATTTATTTACACGTAGATCATCACATTCTTACCAGAAGCACTCTCTACACTACTTAGGCAATAACTCCATTACATTTACAAAATCAACACATGAGCACCATCACCAATATTGATGCACAACTTCAGTAAGCCAATGACATCTCTGACAGAGTGTAAACATCTCAAGAACTACAACATTATCTTTGGAATATAAGCATTGACTCAACTCTGTTTGTAAATAATGAAATACAATTTTAAAATCATATACAGTACTAATAATACTTTATTCCTGCTGCTATTACATGCAAGACCAATCTTTACTACAAATGATCTATTGGCAATTAATTTCATTACAAATTTTTACCTGCAAATAGTCCTATCTATATTATGAAAGCCATACCTCCAGTATAAGTTCAATCATCACTATACATGTAGCTAAGTTGATAAAGTATTCAGTCACAATCAAATGAACCTGGGTTTGATGTCCAGGCTGGGTGAAATGTATCATCAAGTCTACTTACATTAGTTACACCTGCTAACCTAGGTAGTAGTTGACTACTGAGGGTTTCATCATGGGAGATAGTATACCATAGTAAAAGTTAGGCCTCGTAATGAGCAGAGATAGGGTAACAAGGCTTAACCTGTAAAATTATAATATTTATTTTTTAGTCCATTATATCTACATGACAAGTCATGAATAGGAGAAATGCTTGAGAGCAGTAAGCCTTGGTCTACCACAGAAGCATGGTCATAATAAAAGAAGTGTACACCACCTACTGATAGTAGCTCTTTTTTGAATATCGTACACACATCATACAGTACCCAAGAAAATGAATAATTACCAGAAGGAATAAAGCTAAATAAAATATGAGCAATGGACAAATACAGTACTGGTTACATTCTTATGGAGATGTGTAAGAGATTAACAGGTTTCCTTCAAGGGAAGGATACCTTCAATTCCTTGGATCAGGAGCAATTCACCATATTCAAAGCACCTCCCACATCACCTTTTGAAGGGTGGACCTCCAGTAAACAAGTCCAATCTCTACTGGTTTGTAGGTATAAACCTGTTTCCAACAGTCTTTCACAGACATGCTGAAGGTCAGGTTATTCTGTCAAATGCCTCATCAGTCAGGCTTCTACCTTTGTCAGTGTACAATGCATAACACCCTAGATCATCTGGCACATCTTGGAAGATTTTTTTTTTTGTCCAGTTTTCTTAACACTTTTTATTTTTTAGTAATATTTCTCATATCCACTGAATGAAAACTACAGCCGAGACTTTGCATACTGACATATAATTGGGCTTATGATACCCCTACTTCAAATTGATTTATTTTAAATGCTAGGTTAGGTAAATCAGAGATGCCAGACTTTGCCTTCAGGCATTCCCCTTCCCCTCCCACCATCACCACACACAGGAAGGGACAGAAGGCTGGGAGGGAAAGTGTGTACAGGTATACCTCATTACACACTGCTCATTTCAGAAAGCTTTGCTAATACATAACTTTTCAATTCTTTTTTTTTTTTTTCATCAAACTGGCCATATCCCACAGAGGCAGGATGACTTAAAAAGAAAAACAAAAGTTTCTCTTTTTAAATTTAATAATTTATACAGGAGAAGGGGTTACTAGCCCCTTGCTCCCGGCATTTTAGTAGCCTCTTACAACACGCATGGCTTACGGAGGAAGAATTCTGTTCCACTTTCCCATGGAGATAAGAGGAAATAAACAAGAACAAGAACTAGAAAGAAAATAGAAGAAAACCCAGAGGGGTGTGTATATATATGCTTGTACATGTATGTGTAGTGTGACCTAAGCATAAGCAAACGTAGGAAGACGTACCTGAAATCTTGCACATTTATGACAAAAAAGACACCTGCAATCCTACCATCATGTAATATAATTACAACTTTCCATTTCACACTCACTTGGTAGAATAGTAGTACCTTCCTGGGTGGTTGCTGTCTACCAACCTACTACCTAGGGCTTTTCAGTTTTTTTTTTTTATAAAATGCTGGCCATTTCCCACCGAGGCAGGGTGACCCAAAAATAAAGAAAAAACTTTCGTCATTCAACACTTTCACCATCACTCCAAACTGCCAATATCCTAAACCCCTTCTTTACAGTGCAGGCATTGTACTTCCCAATACCAGGACTCGAGTCCGGCTAACCGGTTTCCCTGAATCCCTTCACAAAATATTACCCCGCTCACACTCCAACAGCTCATCAGGTCCCAAAAACCTTATGTCTCCATTCACTCCTTTATATTTTCAGTTATACTATTTGCATTTATTATTTTCAGCACCTGCCTTGCTCTTAAAATGGTTTTTGTCAATTTCCATTTCTTTTTTTCTTTTTTTTTTACTTTTGAATAGTGCTAGTGCTATTGCACACTTAATAAATGATGGTGTAAACATGTTTTTAGGCTTTTATATGCACTGGCAAGTGAAAAAAATAGAAAAAGAAAATATAAATAAAAATAAAAATAAAAAAGTAAAGAAAAAAAAAGAAAGATAAAAAGCAAAAGCAAGAAAAAGAGAAAGAGAAAAATAAAAAGAGAAAGAAAATAATGGAGCAAATGAATTGCAGATCTCACTCGAAAATAAAAGGCTTAGGTGTGAGCAAGGTGCCCAAAATGGGAAGCAGATGCTTGGGCCTCTATGGAAAAGCCTGTCTTGGAAGTCTGACTTACAGCTCACTCACCCTATAACCCTCCCCCTCTTCGTTTCTCTTTTTTTTTTTTATTCTGTGGGGTGACTAAGTCTGGTGTAATTACCAATGATTCTTCTTCTTGTATCAACTCCATCCTCTGGGGATAGCAACTGGCACACTACAGATGAACAGCCTTTATCACTGTCACTACTAGGCCATCACTGATTGCTAGGAAGTTCACACCAATATCGCCAGAGTCTCGCACCAACCCAATAACCTCTGCATCCAACTCTTGCCTGGCAAATCTAAGAGTTGCCCTTAGGAATCTCAAGTGTCTTTCCAGGTACTTCATACATGTCAATCCCATCTTGGGGTGAACTGCATCAATATGGAACCCACACCTGAGGAAGTATGTTAAGAAACTGGAGAAACTGAAGATGTATGCAACAAGAGCTACAATGAGAGGCTAATGGGACTGAATCTAAAAATAATGAAGGATAGAAGAACAAGGGAAGATATACAAAATACTCAGGGAAATTGATAGGGTAGGCAAGAAAAGGCTGTTTGAAAAGTAAGAAATAGGAAAGTGGACACACAGGTGTAAGTTAAAGACAGATGAGTCAGGAAGTAATTCTTCACCCAGAGGGTGGTCAGAAAGTTGAATGATCTTCATAAGTAGTGGTGGAGGCTGTCTCCACTACTTGTCTTCAACAAGTTGAGAGGTAGGGCCAGAAACCGATTCCACACCTGCAGTCACATACAGGCGAGTACATACATGCATCGTAGACACAGACACAGGTACTAGGTGAGTACACACACACACACACACACACACACACACACACACTATGAAGATAATATCCAGTCTGAACTACAAAATGTCTTAACATATTTCAATAATTCTTCTACACACGTTAACCTATAATATCTTGGGATGTGCATTTTTATAAATATTGCTGATGCAATACTGCACTGTGATGTTCTCTAAAGCAGAGTATAACAATCAGCAATCATCATCAGCAAGTTGTTGCAATACAAACAATTATCAGATCCAGACAAACATTACTCACATTTTTAATGAATTGCAAGCAAAAATAAAATAAAATTGCTTTAAAATCTTTCCCACATTCTAGGATAATATACAAGACCAAATAAGAAACTATTAAATCTCACCAATAATAATGATGTGCTCTCAAATCTAGATACAGCAACCAAATTAAATAGTTTCTGTCTCATTTGAATTAAGCTAGCTAGTAACATTCCTGGAAAATACAATTAATATTAACTCTCCTATGGCAACTACTTTAGTTTCTTGTACTTACCAACAACCACAATCTTTCTAGGAAACTAATAATAAAATTACATAAAAATTCATTCAGCAATCATGATAAATGATACATTATGTGCAAGAAAGAATTATACATCACCAGCCACTAATAAATAACTTTTAACTATGACTATCAAGATATCCTTCAAATGCCTAGAATTCATAATCCCAATTCACAAAGGTGGAAATACCTCTGACAAAGAACTACACACGAATTTCAATCCTGCCAATATGGAAACAAGGTATAAATAAGCAGAAGAATGGACAGGGACTGGAACTGTGGTCATGACAGGCAGCAGGTCCAGTGCTATACCACTAATTATTAGCCTTACAATAGAAAGGTTTCACATACAGCATTTTTCTGTGATATATCTGCATCAGAGGTAACCACCTATGACCAAACTATCTCTTCCTACACCTCCATTGTATGAATTCTAAGACAATTTTTTTTTCCAACAAGTCGGCTGTCTCCCACCGAGGCAGGGTGACCCAAAAAGAAAGA